AGCCTTTGGGATGTATGCGGTCATGAGGAGACAGGAGGAATGGAAGCCCAATATACAGACAGAAAAAGTGACGGGAAGAACAACCAGCGGTACATCGGCTTAGCAATCTCAGTGACTCAGCACCCTTGTATTTTGTTTGCACAAAAAAGGCCCGAGGAAATGGTTCCTTGTTGTTTTTCAAAACACTTCTGGCAGAAGACCATACCCGGATAGTGATCACAGGAAAGATCTCCCTGGTTCATTATCGCAACTGTATCGAGTTCATTTCACCACGATCAAAACTAAATATTCTTTTCCAGCCCTCTGTGGTCGTACCCACTCGCATGGACCAAGGTCTCCCAGCGTTTCGTCAGAACCCTCAAAACAACCCTCAAAAGATGAAGGAAGTCCAAAGAAAAACAACTCACAAGCTGATGCCTTTTCTCACTAGCTTCTTCCATTTCAATTATTCGCTGCCGTACTCTCAAAACTAAATCCACAATTTCGACATGATGCTTCGTTGCCAATACCTTTGCTCCTGAAACGCAAAGGAAATGAAGCGTAAAATTCCTAAGCGCTACGGTTGAATGAAACTCGGTCACCTTTCCTTACACATCGTTAGTCATACAAAGGACACAGCTCTCAAGGATTAATATTAGGCTCAACCACCTCACCCATCGCGCTGGTCACCTTTTTGTAAGGAAATGTTCGGAAGAACGAAATAGAGGTATTTTAAGCACCTACAGCCAGAAAAAAACGCAGGGCCAAGGAAACCGTCACAGAAGCACCCCAACAAAAATAACACCCGGAGGCATGTCTTGAATATTGAGCGTGCGTTCGCGCAGCAGTAAGTGGTTACTTGAAGTTGACAACAGAACTGCTTGAACAATGACTGTAAAGAATGCGTTTTAGAACGCCAAATGTGACGTTTCGACTATCAAAGACCCTCCACATTACGGAGAAGTGCACATATGCGCTCACAATTCCGTTTATGAAGTCATAAACTTTTTGCCCTATTGGCCTGTGAGTGCATCAAAGCAATACTGTATCACTCGTAAGGTCACCTATCCTTAGCCACTCGACTGACTTACCCAAATCAGCAGAACATAGCGCCTCCACATATTGAGCTTTGAGTTGAGCATTCACATCACGTGTACGACTCGAGAGCCAACCGACAAAATTGGGGCTGCTCACAAATCGACGGTACAATCCTTTAAGAAATTGACATTCCATCAGAAATTTCAAGTCTTTTGGAACAAAAAATGTATTCAACGCTTTATTACGTACCTGGCCAATCTCCTTTGACTCCACATGTCAAAGATGGACCTGCGGCGTCGACAGTAAGTAAGAATTCTTCAATAGAGAACGGACGGGCACTAGGGATAGCCTAAAAATCTATTTGTACTCTTTGACATCAGAGCAGCCAAGTGATTAAAACTAATAATTGTTTCAATGGACGACACCAAACGGTTTCGGTGAGGAGGAATAAGTGCGTACCGGCCAGGTGAGTCGGAAAAAACCTCTCCGAAATAGGGAGGTGTCTGCCGAATCAATGCGCACCCAATGCTTTTCGTAGATTCTCGGATTCGTAAAAATGTGGTGCGCCCGGCTGAACGCGGCCTCGCCCTCTAGTGCTTATTCCCTGTGACAATCTTTCTTTTTCGAGTATTAACGTGACCATGCGCACCATATACCTCTCGTTTTACTACCTCTGGTCTTGAGTGGCATACCCTATCATTTACGTCCCTCGCTAAGACTGCGATTAAGCTATGAGATCCGCTTGCTAAGCATAGAAGGTATCATTTCAGAGGGAAACTTCTCCCAAAATAGAAGCCATGCAGGAAAGGGTCTAACCTTAACTTTTTACTCTTCTAAACACTTTCAACTCTAGAAGAAATAAGCGCAGGATTTTAGCTGGAACGTGACAAGGACCACGAACTAAATTGAAACGAAACGAAAAAAACCAACCTTGAATGGCGACATTTCTTTACGTAGTGGCATAAGAGATGAGAGGTATCGTTCCAGAGGAATCATGAAGCTTTGAGTCAGTTCGAGGAAATGCCTACGTAGTATATTACACTGGACCTGAATATTAACAACTATTGTAAATTACTAAGAAAAAAAGGACAATATGAGCAAACCTCCGACGGTCGATCTCCCTTCAATAGCTTCTTCGCAACGCTCTTATCCTTGTTCAAAAACGTTTTGTACTGCGTGTAAATACCGGGCTTCGTATCAAGAGTTCGGCCATCCCAATTTTTCCTTAAACACTCAGCTGACCAATGCTATCTAATAAAAGCATATAGAGCTGGAATGTAAAATGTTTTAAGCAAGAAAAAAACTCACCTAGTTTTTTCTTGGCGCTCTGGTACGTCAGAGCCCTCTACAGTTTCGCCTACTTTAAGTATATGTGGCCAGTGGTCCAGTGCTTTTATGAAGAATGGGTTTGTTACTCCCAACATCACACGTGGTCTAAAAAAAATCGCAGGCATGTAGCATAAAACTATGAAGGACATAAATAAGGTGGCAAAACCCGATGTAGAAAGCTGTGTCAAAGAACCAGTGAAGGCAACCAGAACCAAAACCTACGGAGGTCTGCTTTTTGTTGAATATTCTTTGAATTCCGAATCATGAATTGTGAAAAATGGCCGGAAGTCGTTATAATATTTCAAAGGAGCAATCAAGGAGACCAGCGCCTGTAATCAATGTCAAATAAGAGCTCCTGTGTTTTCAACTGTGAATGGAGCATACCTGCACTATGGAGGAGCAACGTTGCGGGGTATTAGCCATAACCAGTAGAGGCTAAATGATAAAAACTATCCCTTGAACCAATTACTCGAAACAAAAGCCTTTCTAAGAGAGTTTCCAGTTGATGCTTACCTCTCCCAGTAGCACTAGTTCCCACAGCAACTGAAGATGATTAACAACAGTATGAAGTGCTTTGTACATATCCACTTGATGAACGGATGTCAAAACCACGGTATCCATATTGCTACCGGTGATATCCTGAGCAAAGGTTTGAACGAAGTAGAAGCGGATGAAGATTAGTAGCTCTTACCTTCAGGGTTGGAACTAGGCGAAAGTCCAACGGTAAGTCAGCTCTGCAGGGAATACGTATTCGGAGAAGAGAGCCTAGCAACGGCAGTGATAGTGGTTCCCCAACACAGGGCGATGGCCACTGATCCATGTCGTGACACGCTTAACAGAAACGTTTTATGGTCTTGAAAAAACACGCTCCAATTGAAAAAAGGCAGACACTTTGAACAATATTCAACCTCATTCTTTCGCCTACAGCAAAATATGGGGAACTTCATTTTGACCGAAAATAAAGCTATTTTTGGTGGATTAATGGTCCCTCTTCATGTAATTGTTCGCGACATGGAATAGAAATGGGGTTGATGTAATTGTGCTGTGCTTGGCAAAAGTAGTAACAACAAAATTAATCCTCCACTAACGTTAGAAGTAGTCAGACCTGAAGCTTACTAATAATGAGCACCACTGGCCGATGTCAGACTTTGCGATTGGAGCGATTTTGCACCAATTGCAGGAGCGACGGGAGATTTACACCGCCGACCACCGATAATTCGGCGCCATCAGGGTAAATCTCCCGTCGCTCCTGCAATTGGTGCAAAATCGCTCCAATCGCAAAGTCTGACATCGGCCACTAGCGCCGGATTTGAGTAAACTGCGTTAAACCATCGCTGAAGACGTTTACTGAACGTTAGGAATGTAGAGGAGCTTTTAGTAGGCCACGCAAAACCCAAACCCACCCCCACCCCTGGCCTTTATTGGGCTTGCGATACTATGGTCCCGACAATTCTTATAATTGAACCGATTTAGCAAGAAAGAACACAAATGAGATAGCTGGAATGAATAGAAGGAAAGCTGTGAAAGATAACCTTCAAGGATAACAAAAAAGAATAAAAAGACAAATGAAATAAAAAGCTAACGAATAACCACAACCTACCAGCTTCAATAGCAGGCTCTCCGTTTTCGAAGAACTGCAAAGCGATTCTCTCGATAACTAGAGAGAAAAGATTGAAGAAAGGTAGAATCGTGATCAACACAAGGCTCTAGAAGTAAGAACATCAGCTCCAGAAATAACGCCAAACCTTGAATTAGACGAAATTATCGTGATACCTTCTGATAGTATCCACGATGAATGGAAGCATCTTTTTGCTGTCGAAAATGCACAAATCCATAAAGATAGCTGGGATCAAATGAAGCCGCATGGGAAGAGCACTCTAAGAGTGTCCTTTGAGAGGAAGTGATTTCAGTCGTTCCTCTGAAAAGGAAAACCGCGTGGACAAAACAATCTGGAAGTATTTAAAAGTTGAGAAGTATTGCTAGCATTTTAACCTTCTTATGCGGAAATGGAAATTCGTGTCCTTGGTATTACCACTGTTCGAGTCCGGGAATGCCAAGTAGCAGATATTCGTCTTTTCTTGCGTGCTCAGAACTGCGTCACCTGGGTAGATCACCTAAATCACAAAAGATATGAACCGTAACAACGAGAGATTAAACATCTTTGAATTATTATGGATTCCCTTCGTTGACACTGCGAATACAAAGAAGTTGGAGACCTAAGACCAATGTCATAGCTTGCGAATCGAGCAAATCGCTGGATCCGAGCGTTGCGTCCAGCGAATCGACCGATGCACCAGCGAGTCGACCTATGTACCAGCGACTCGACACTTGATGAAAGCAGCTTGGCACTATGACTCGCAAACTATGACATCGGTCTAATGGAGCACTTCATTATTTCCACTTCATATACTGTATGAATTTAAAAATTACCATAAATTCAGCAATCCGATTGAAGTTTCTTCGACACAGGAAATAATTTACGGCCTCCCTGGCGTTCTGCACTTTTTCCAAACTACCCGTCTTCCCACTCACCTCTATTGAAAATTTCACGCCGTATTTTCAATAATTACTACTGTGAGGCAAACTGTTCTGACGGTGCAACACGCATTTCAAGGAGAAGATGATTCGCCATGAAATAACCGATCAAATATCACAAATAAGCCTCAAATGATATAATAAAGAAATCATTTAACACGTTGACGACAACGCGCGTTTTGGCTTCTTTGACCGCGTGGGACCGGCGCGATTTTGCGAGCGCCGCCGCCTCAGGTCCTTCAGGCGAATTTTGCATGGTAAATGAATAAAACATGATTGATACAAAGTTAGATTAGTCTTTTCAGTGCGTAGAAGCGCCCCAGAGATATAGTAGTGAAAATTTGGTTGAAAGTCGGATGAAATAATAGTGAAAAAGCAAAATTTGTCAGAATCAGCTGCAATGAACGTCAAAAGCAATTTTGCACCGATTATTGCAATCCAAACACATATCTTGTCATACTTGAGGTTCCGTATTGACTTACACTACCCTTTAAATATTCACATTCATGAAAAGAAAATGTAAACAAAAAATCAACTGGGTTGACGATTTCGTTCGGTTCAGAAAACCTCCCCTAATTTGAAGCACACGTGACCACTCTAAGAGCTACTATGTTTCTATCTATGTTAAGGTTTTCTCTATGGAATGAATACAAGAAGCCTAAAAATGAATCACGTGTGCGAGAAAAAAATGAATGCATTGGGTGCAGGACACATACGTCCCGCGTTGTCCGTTGTGGTCTGCAAAGTGCGGGACGTATGTGTCCTGCGCTGTCGTCAACGTGTTAAGTGGCGCTGTACCTCAAGAGCCTGTCCCAACTCCAAATCGAATGTGACCACACAGATCGAATGCACCCAATCATTGAAACGTTCCCATGGCGGCCAGTCATTGCCAGCCATTGTTAAAGGCTACCAAACTCTGAAAAGTGCAACAGTAACTTCCTGGATAATCGCAAATATAAATTACGCCCATTGAACGGAAAACGCCTGACGTAAGGATGAGGCAGGATTATTGGATCTGAGCGCGGGTCGCTTCATCGACCCGAAAGCCAAAGGATTATGCTAACAAATTAGAGGCACATCCAAGTCAGAAGACGGCAACCAAATTAAGGATTTCGCCAAAACTAGAAATGAAGGAAAGAGCAAAGGCAAGTGTACACATTGAGAATGAATGGCACATCGCAATGACGAACGATGTATTATTTCGATCGAGCACTCGGTAAATAAGAACAAACATCAAAATACTGAGCAGATGTTCGAGTAATAACAAATCACAGCTGTGACGCAAGCATGATGTCAGAGATAGTATACATGACATTCCGCAAGCAACAACAACAACAAGCACTATACGACTATTCCTACACGCCTACACCAATTTCCCTGCTATTACACCTTTGATCAGCGCTTAAAAAGTAGAATAGCGATCTTATCAAGATTGTTTGAATAAAATTCGGCACGACTACGATAACCACCCCAGAATGGCAAAAAATTCAAAACCAAGTCCACAAAGGTGTCGTGATTATACTTAAAGCAACAGATGCAGCCAGTTTTTAGCTTCGACACTAGTGGCGTTGAGCGATGCGCTACTAGTCCAGAGCACAAGAAGTGTGATTGAACAAAAAACCACCTTAGAAAGCCGCTGGAAAGGGAGCTGAACGGTTCCGAAGTGGGCGTGGTTGGAAGTCAGGCCGAGGGGATTGCAGCCGACTGAGCAACCACGCCCACTTCGAAAGCCGTTCAGCTCCCTTTCTAGCGGCTTTCCAAGGTGAGTTTTTGTTCAGTCACACTTCTTATGCTTCTTGACTAATGGTGAGACTAGCGCATTATTCCACACTATTAGTGTTGAAGGTAAAAACCACGGTGGGATGTTCCTTTAAGCCATTGGATTTGGTGCTGGCTTCATTTGACACCATCCGTGACAGATTAGATGCCAAAAATGAATGTCGTATTCGTTATATAAGTCATTTAAATGTGTATCAGAAATAAGGAACATTCGTGGGAACTTGAAAAATTCGTAATTGAAGTGGTACAGTGGGAGTTCAGAGCATTGAAGAAAAGAAATAAAATGAAGCCAGTTTCACAAAAAGATGATGTCAATCAAGTGGCATTATACGATGGTAATAATACAATGGTTAATAGGATGGTTACATGAGGATTATACAAACCGCAGGTGTGCTTTCTGTGAAAAATGAATGAATTGCAAACAAACCAGTAAGCTCCCGTGCGTGCTTTCCTTACTATTCAGAAAAAGGCTAAAGAAGAATAACAAAAAATTTGACTTCGGCTGAAATGGGATTTGAACTCGTGTACTATTTAATCACAGTAACTCTGAAAACATAGGCTTAAAAGGTGAACATGTAGTAATGCAGCCTCTGAAAAAAAGAGGTTCCACCTAGACGAGGATAGGGCTTCCAGAAGAAATGCAGATGAAGGCAATGAAAGCGAAGATGAGCACATCGACTAAGGACTACTTCCGAGCGAATCTAATTGCATAGGCAACATGATATTCTCTCACAACTTTCCCCATTCCTGTTCGCTGGCGGTGTTTGTTACGCCTCTTAGCACGTCGCGCTTTCCTTCACCGTCACTACAGCGATTACGGCGCGAATCCACGAAACTGGTACGCTATTACTGAACCGGTTCAAAAGCACTTCCACTACGAGGATTAATGGACCTTTGAAGGAGATCCCATCTTATTCAATCATACCCTTCTCCTAAAGAATGATGGATAGTCAATTCGTTAGAAATTTGATTACAGAGGTAGTTTTGGCGCACCGTGACGTAAAATTTCCGATAAAACAGCTGATCAAACAATGTTCATCCTCGCCTGGTTCACTGATTAAATGGGGCCTAGTCCAAGAGATTGGGGTGAGACTGGAGAATGGAGGTGCAATAGCTTGTGCTGCCCATGGCAATCCGAGTTTTCTCGGGAGAACTAAGCAGTGCGTTAACCCTTTCGCTTTCGCTTTCACGCACATCTCAGGTGAGCTTCTACTCTACGAAGCATGATTAGAATGGAGGCTACGAACTTTGAGCCACGATCTCCCCCACCATCACTGAAATAGACCTGATTTTTACGATTAGTAAAGCTTATTCCACTGAAAAGCTTATGGAAATAAACAGTTTGAATCTCACAAAACGGCTCCCCCACTTTCTTCACGATTTGGGGCGCGGCCGCGGCGAGCGCGGACGAGTCGATAGTGCCCGCGAACTGTGGTGGTGAGCGTTTTCAAATTTACCCACACAGTTCGCGGGCACTATCGACTCGTCCGCGCTCGCCGCGGCCGCGCCCCAAATCGTGAAGAAAGTGGGGGAGCCCACAAAAACTATACCAAATGGATGAATACAATGAATACAATGTATAATCGCAAACAAAACAACAATAAGAAGTGTCCGCAAACCACGAAAACAAACCTTCTTTTGTGTAGATATCGCAGACGCGAGGCAGAATTCCGCAAATATTTTGGTTAGTCAGTCGCACTTGATGAGTCAACAAAGGCAGCGTACTTGCTGGTCACTTTTATCGTACAACACCTACTCCATTTTCGAGGACATCCGCTAGTTCATCAGAGGAATGCAACTAGAATGAGTTACAGGGCAAAATAAAAATAGCGCTTGTTATGAAAATTCATTCATCCGAGAGGGTTTTTCGGTCACCAGTCACAATTGTAAGCCACTTTTCTTCAAAACATAAGCTTTTTGCCGAAACACACTTCCTTTTAGGAAATTGGGATATCTCACACAAAATTTGCAAAATTACCTTCGAACGTGGGTCAGCCTTCAGCTACATATTTCAAGTATTTCCTAACAAAATGAGAAAGCATCGAAGTTTCAAAAAATGCTTTGCGATTTTAATCTAATCTAAAGGTGCAGAGCGTACTGACCCAGCAATTAGAGCCACAGGGTTTTAATTCTGGAATTCAAACATCGTCAAAGTTGATCTAAAACAAAAAAAAAAATGTTTAACGAAACTTATCAATATAAACTGTCAAAACAAAAAGATCGCAAAATCTAACTAATAAAACAACCCTACATTGCTGAAATGAAGTTGGACGCCATCGCAAGATGCGGGGTATCCCTTAGGACTATGCTTGGGAGGTAGCAGGACATCGGGAAAATAAAGATTGCTCACGCACCATGAAGTCTCCACCCCCCTTGAGATTTTGCGAATCGGCGATTCGCTACTTTGCGATTCGCGCGATTCGCTAGCGTCCGCGGTCGCGTTGCGGTACCAGCCAATTGAGTGATTCACTGGCCGCGACGCGACCGCAGACGCTAGCGAATCGCGCGATTCGCAAAGTCTGACATCGGCCTTACAACAAATAAGATGATGATGACGCAGTTTTATAAGTGTTGCCGCCTCGATGCCCCCATGTCTTGCGATAGCGCCGCAGAAGATTTGAAAGATACGCAAAGTCATAATTTCTTTACTCACTGGACTGAGTTGAACTAAACGAATAATGAGTGAAAGAATCCCTTTTGCTATCTGTTTCACAAGAATAGCACAAAACATTCGCCCCAGGCTGGACTCGAACCCACACCTCTCGCACCGTGCTGGCAAAAGCAGCAGTTAACAAACTAGAACAAGTCGAAATTAGTTTATTTCCATACAGTAGATTTTTGAAAAATTCCTCTAAAGTCAGGAAAATGGAACTCATCACGTCCAAATAATTTGCATTCTTCATAGTAACATGCTCAAAAGTTCAACTTACTAGAAGTATACGAAATTTGATTCGCAGAAAGATTGCAGCCATTTTGAGAAGCAACAGCTCATACGCTATAAATTGTTGGAGGTACTTCCGTTAACCAGTTTTAAACCTTCTCAAAATGATTTGTAGCGACAAACGCGAGCGCAGGTGAAACGTTTCTACGAGGAATGGATGCATTGATCGAAGGTAACGCGACAAACTGACAACATTTGGCAAAAGGTCATTCATCGATTTCAGTAATAAGTTTAAAAAAAGTTATTCAAAATCCAAGGAAAAACAACCAGAAATTGAATATGAGTGACATCATTGGTTCCACTGGATTAGTAAGCCATTTTAATCAGACTACGCTACGATTCAAAACACGACCTTCTAGTGAAATCTGCAATGTGCAAAGCCTAATGAGAAAACCGCATCTGCTTAATCACCTCCATACAAAATAGAAAAATGAGTAGGCGCTGAAAGGCTGGAAAAATACCTTTCAGAGCCTTTTCTACACTTCTTGAGGTGACGAGATGAATCGGGTTGAAATCAGGTTCATCAGAGAGTGAATTGCAAGAATAAGAAAACAACCAGAGACAAATAACAACCAGTTAGTATGCATGAGAAAATGACGTCGATGTTAATGAACCACAGAGGTGTTCGAGCGTGAACCGAGCAAGCGCATGACAACTCGGACATGTCTGCCGCTGGCTCCGCCCTTCCGCTGGCGGGTTGGACATTGGTCCAGTCACCCCTCTCCCCCACCGTCCTCTCTCAGTAGGTTTTCCACACCTCACCACAGTCCACCAGGCCTTGGATGGGCCCCCAACCCCCTGCCCGCACGCCAGCCATGAGCAGGGGTTCAGCTATACCTGATCTTCCTACGTCCCCACCGCGGGAGACGGGCGTTTGTCCTCCTGGGGCCGCCGCCGCGCCGTCGCACGCGGCGATCGACGCGGCGAAGGCTGTGGTGGTTGGATGTGGCGGTGTGATTTATTAGCTGTGGAAACAATATGGTTTTAGCCCTCTTCCACTCTTTTGGCTGTTGGAGTGAAAGTTCGTTAATTTTATCGATTCGTTACTGCCGAATGAGCAACTTAGGCGCTGTTTGAGTGACCTGTTTAATTTGACTGACCCCCTTCTCCCCAATGGCGTGAAAGAGAGTAGATCATGCAGTATGGCGATATGTTTTCACATGACGCCCATTCTACA